TTATCATTAGCCCTTTAGTTGACTTCAGGCTTCATAGTGACAAAAATTCGAGAGTGGGGGGGGAGGAGGAACAGAAGAGTGTTTCAAAGATATAGGAGAGACAGGCACAAAGGTAGAGAAAAAAGATAAAATAAATACTGTGAAAATGGCCGAATATGACATACAGTGGGGTCGTGGTAGTTTGAAGTTAGAAGTCAACTACCAGTTAATAGACTTTTTTGCCGTATGAGTATACGTTGCTCAGGGTGCACCACGTGGAGCTAAGTCTATCGCACACCTCTGTCCAATTATAATTAGCTTAAAATAAATACTTACTACTTTATTCACTTTTAATAAAGCACTTAAGAATTATTTCGAAATTAAGTAACAATTAATCAAAATCATGATTGCGTAATCTTGCTATACTTTTTTGGGAATTATTTGCTTTAACATTCAACATATTAATTTTTGCCAAAATATAGCATAATCTTTTTTGATGAAATCATTGTGCGTTATACAAATAAGATATGCTAGCATCACAACGAGAATATATTTTAAATTAAATACGGTTTTATTATTTCGCAATTTCTCATGATTTACCCTAGCCCTAAAATTTCCGCGTCTATCAAAGTCAAAGTCCTGCGCTTAACGTTGCTGTTCCATGGATCAACCACCTTCCGCAGAAAATAACGGAGAACAAAATAGTAAAAGCTCTAATAGCTTGAACAATCGAGGAAGAGGTAGCAGGCGCTCAAGAAGATCATATAATTACCGGAATTCTATTAAAAATTCAACAGATGATCCTAATAAGAAAAGCCAAATAAGAAGCAGGGGTGGATATAATCGTCGACGCAATGGAAATGGCCGCTTTAATGCCAATCACCGATATGACAGACAAACGGACCCTAGATACTCTCAAACAGAAGAGGGGTCTCGTATTGACGTTACTTCTTCACAAGCAAGCTCGTCTTTAACTGTATCCGAAGTGGCAAGCGTTTCGGTTCTTGAAGATTCTCTAAAGAATTTAAGTTTAAGAGGTTTGTAGCCTTTGTTTTATTTTTATATTGTTGATTACTATTTTCAATTTAATTTTTAGAGGCAAATATGGAGCAGTTTTTACGTGGAACGTATGAATGCTCTATTTGTTTTCTTAAAGTCAAACCCCGAGATGCAATTTGGTCTTGTGATAAATGCTATGGATCCTTCCATTTAACTTGCATGATAAAATGGGCCAATGCGGGCTTGCTGAACAAGGACAGTGATCAGGCCACTTGCCTAGCTTGGAAGTGTCCACATTGCCAGAAAGTTCATACTGCATCGACCAATCCTCTCACTTATCGATGCTTTTGTGGTAAGGTCTCTAGGCCAGAGTATCGACCTGGAGTTTCCACAATGCCCCACGGTTGTGATGAAGTCTGTGGAAAATCGAAGGCCAACTTAAATGCAAAAGCTCTTGACAATCCTAGGATTCAATCTTGTCCACATAACTGTACAGAGTGAGTTCATACTGTTTGATGCTTTTTGTTACTTTACAAGTGGCCTAATGACGACCTGTTTTTTCTTTCATATGGCTCTGTTATCCGACCATTTTATTTAACCATTTTATTAAATCGGATACTTTCCTTAAGTTTATCTTTAAATTTTCATTTTTTTTTGATTATTTGTTTGCTCACTTGACAATGGTAGTGGACGTTTACATATAAGTTGCATAATCTTAAGCAATATTTGTACATTTGCACTTCTGAACTACTCGAAAGACCCTATCTTTGGCGAAATTTTTTGTTTTTAGTCCCTTTACAATTCTTCGCTTGCTCTCCGAATTTGTTCATTAGATTGTATACTCCTTAAACCTTGTAAAAATGTAAGTGTCATTAGTGTCTACTAAAGGTTTAGTGTGCTATTAAAGGCTTAACTGTTGATGTTCATCTTTTGCCCATCCGTGTTACTTGTTTTTTGGTCCGAGCGACTTTCTTGGTGTCAGCACTTCTAGAGAAGACTAAAAGTTTTATTAGATAAATGAAACAACAATTTTTCTGAATTCAGCTCTTTGTTACATTTAAGGGAAGTTTTTGAAGTGAGATGATATTAGCTGGTACCTGTTCACTTTCTATCAATATTTCAATCATCATATTCCATTCTTTCTTCTTTTTGCTCTTAGTTTTGTATTACTGTGTTTAAATGCACAGCATATTCTCACGTTTTCTCTTAAACACTTCCCCCAGTTAGTTGCCTTTCTATTAAAATCTAATTTTATTGTCTCTTTCTTCATTCCATCCAATTGTTTCCATTTGCAAATTAGCATTTCTTCATAGTGCATAAGTTGTGAATAGGAGCGGAGTCGTTGGTCATTTGTGGGGTATATTTTTGCGCCAAAATTGTTCAGTTGTTGCTAATTTATTCTTAGGGAAAATAATTACTAACCTTATGATAAATTTTGCAATGAAAAGCTTATGACTCAATGAACTTTGGGCCTTTGTTAACATTTGATGCTTAAAATGGTCAAGCGATTTAGCATTTGATTACAGTTAGCTGATTCCATTACCTAATAATTATGGTTGAGTAGATTAGATCTAATGTGCATTGTAATTAAATGCATATTATTTAATTTGTGAAATTCTATTTGAATTTTGTTTTCAGTGCTGAAAAATTATCCTTTTTGGAAGAGCCTAATTGTCCTCTAGTTCTTCTCAAACCGTTTCTCTTTGATTGCATAGAATGGGCTTTTCCAACCCTCTTACTTGTTTACCAAGGTTACCGTTATTTACATTTCCTCACAATTTTTAATTTTCACGTGAAATGAGAGTTGTTGCTGGATATAATGCAAAGGAGATATAAAGCTTTGCTTAATTCCGTATTTGCCATTCAATGTGATTTTTATGTCTATTTTAGTGGCCAATTAGGTTAGTAAAATTACAATTCTTCCTCATGCCTTTACGCTAGTTAAATGTCGCCAGCTGACTTATTACGCAAAGCAATATCTACTGAAAAGTTTCAGTAATTAGTTTATTACCCAGGGACAGTACTCATTTTAGCATTTATAATCAAATATAGCTCTTAAAGCATTTTGAATGATTAGCATGCTAACATTATTACATTCTCTTACATAAAGAAATCCCCAATTCTTTAAGGTTAAACATTGGACCCATTGGATGATTTCGAATTTAGTCTCCCTTTCGTAGTAGTATTAATCATTTAGGTGTTTTAGCTTGCATTCACCAACTTAATTCTCCCATTTTCTTGTTAGGCTTTGCCACCCTGGTCCCTGTCCGCCTTGCACAGCCATGGTGCAGCTCTCGTGTCCCTGCGGACGCGTCGTCAAGACCACGCGATGTGGTGAGGAACCTCCCTTGCCATGTGGTGGTCCTTGTGGTCGCTCTTTAAATGAAGACTGCTGCGTCTTCGGCACCCATGTCTGCCCTCTCAACTGCCATGACGGTGAATGTCCACCTTGTGACAAACTCATCAAATCTGGTAGGACGATGCTAATTTATTTCATTTCTCGTTTTAATCGTTATTAGTTCCATTTGTTTATATTCGGGGGACCACGTTTTTTTATTCGTGTTAGTTTTTTATAATGGTCGTATATTTAGGGACGTTATAGAGGTATATATTACATGCCGTCCTATTCTCAAATTATCCTGCTTATGTGGTTACTAAATGGCTGCTTGTTCTGGTCAAGTGATATCACTTTGTGTTCTCATATTTCTTTCTAGTTATCTACCTGTTAAATACTTGAAGTAAGGTTTCTCATTTGACCCGTTTTTTTTCTGAAATGGGATCTGCAAGTAGTTTTTATTGGCACTGACCTCTACTGAATAAAGAAGGAGTAAAATTTTATTCAATAGGAAATACTTAAACACTTAACAGTGAAATAGGCATTTTATAAGTGATGAAGGGATCAAGGAGAGAGAATAGATGAGGCCTACATTATCAAGATTGTTGCATCATCTGAGTTAGTGAGGTCATCTATGTTCAATTCAAATTTCTCGCCTTTTTCCCCAGACCCCCGCATGGCTGATTGGTCTGTTGATTAAATTAGTATGAAAAGAACAGTAACCAGAGAATTCAGAGTTGAGACGCTAGTATCGAATTACAATTATGACTCATAATCGAATCGTTCTTCTTGGTTAGCTCCCTAGAGGAAATATTTCCGAAGTGTTGCATTTTTCTGAAGTACTCCTCATTCCCATCCACAAACTGTCTATCCAATACTCCATCGATATCGAAGAATATTGCCCTTAGCATGAGTGGGTGATTAAGACGGCTTTATTATCTATTTACTTTGCCTATTATGTGTTTTGTAGCCGTCAATATGGATTTCCCCATTGACTTCAATTGGCCATGAAAACTCATCCAGACACTTAACATAATTGGCCAAAATCTTTCTCCTAACTAATCTTCTTTTTAGATTTATGTGCATTCTGGGGTTATAAGAGAGTGGAGCGACCATCCGTCGTCCCCAGCGTCATAGACATCTGGATAATCATCAGTAATTTTCCCACTGGTCCACCCTGCATTTGTGTTGGTTTGTGTGGTTGAAGGTGCTTCCATCTTAGTTGTTTAGGTTGCAAATTTAACTTACTCCTAATTCATCATTTTCAAATTCGGCGGCTTTCATCAAATGAAGTCGGAAAAAAGCATCATGCTGCTGCACCAACTTTCCACCGCTCAAGTGTTAGTTAAATGCACGAAAAATAGCCCTTTCTCAACAAGCTTATCGTGTCTGCTATTTTCGGAGGGTTCTTACAATCAGCTTTTTAAAGCACGTGGCTATTCCTCCATGGCAAATTTTTTTTCGCCTCAATTCATCTTTATGTCCTACTTTTCGCTAGTTTGCTTACTTGTCAGATGTTTGATTGTCTCATGGCATTTTTCATGTTTATTTTTATGTTGTTTCGCATTGCTTATATGCATATATGTATATACACGTGGTCAGTGACGATATTTCACTGGCGCTTTATATTTTTGTAATCGAGCCGAATCTAATTAGCATAATGCATCTCTGCCACGTTTGGATTTTCGTCTTTTGTTCAGCTGTGCTAATTCTCTCCTCAATCAATTCCCTTCAATTGGACAGTCTTATTTAAAATTTAAGGCACACATTTGCTGCAATGCGGGAGTCGGGGGGTGGGGGGTGGGGTTGCTTTTAGGTAGCCAGGGGGAGATTCTCACTTTGCGGAAGTTAAATGCCAGTAATTTCGTTCAGGTGTGGATTAAAACCCTAGCGAAAGAGCTTCTACCTAATTTGGGCAGAGTTAAATAATAGCATGGCCGTTTGAAGTTGGATGTTGCCTGTGCTGATGGCAATAAATGCTCAGGCTATTTCACGCATCAATCTGCTCTTCCGGTCTTGGATTAGAACCCAATTGAAGTGGAGG